AAGCATAGGCCATCTTCATTTTACTGCACTTTGTCTTCTTTTTTAAAAATTTCTTATAATTTCATTTCATTTTATACAAGATGGGGCCTCCTCCCAAAGTGCTGTGATTACAGGCATGAGCCGCCAGGCCCCACCATGCCCCACTTGCGCCTTTTTTCAGATACTGTGTTTCTTACAAATTGAAGGTTTGTGACCACTGCACTCAGCACATCTGTTCGCACCATTTTCCCAATAGCACGTGCTCACTTCATGCCTGTCACATTTTGATAATTCTTGCAATATTTCAAAGCTCCTCATTATTATTCTATCTGTTATGGTAATCTGTGATTGGTAATCTTTGATGTCACTATTCTCATTGTTTTTAGGCACCACGAATCATACCCATAAATCAGTGTGTTCTGACTGCCTCACTGACCAGCTTCTCCCCTATCTTTCTGCCTCTCCTCTGGCCTCCCTATTCCCTGAGGCACACCCATATTGAAATCAGGCCAATTAACCTTACAATGGCCTCTAAGAGTTCATGTGAAAGGAAGAAACTTAAATCTCTCAATGTAAACCAAGAACTAGAAATAATTAAGATTAGTGAGGAAGGCTTGCTAAAAACTAAGATAAGCTGAACGCTGGGCCTCTTGCACCAAACTGTTACCCAAGTTATGAATGCAAAGTCCTTGAAGGAAACTGAAAGTGCTATTACAGCGAACAGGACAATGATAGTTAAGCAAAGCAGCCCTACTGCTGATAAGGAGAAAGTTTTAATGGCCTGGATAGAAGATCAAACCAGCCAAAACATTCCCTTAAGTCAAAAAATTCAAAGGGCTTCACTCCCTGTAGTTCAGTAAGGCTGAGAGAGGTTAAGGAAGCTGCAGAAAAGTTGGAACCCAACAGAAGTTGGTTCGTGAAGTTTAAGGAAAACAAGCTGTCTCCATAACGTAAAAGTGCAAGGTGAAGCAGCAAATGCTGATGGAGAAGCTACAGCAAGGTATCCAGAAGGTCATGCTAAGATCACTTAAGTGGCCACATTGAACAACAGATATTCAATGTAGATGAAACAGTCTTCTATTGGAAGATGCCATCTAGACCTTTCATAGCTTAAGAGATGTCAATGCCTGGCTTCAAAACGTCAGCAGGTTGCCTCCCTTGTTAGGGGCTAATACAACTGATGATGAGTTTAAGTTGAAGCCAATACTCATTTAACATTCTGAAAGCTGTAGGGCCCTTAAGAATTACACTTAATCTACTCTGTCTGTGCTCCAGAAATGCAGCAAAGCCTGGATGACAACACATCTATCCACAGCATGGTTTACTGAATATTTTAAGCCCACAGTTGAGACCTATAGCTCAGGAAAAAAAAGATACTTTTCAAAATATTGCTGTTCATTGACAATGCACCTGCTCACCCAAGAGCTCTAACAGAGATTGCTGTTTTCATGCCTGTTAACACAAAATCCATTCTGCAGCCCATGGATCAAGGAGTCACTCTGACTTTCAGGTCTTATTACCTTAGAAATATATTTCAAAGACTGTAACTGCTATAGACAGTGATTCCTCTGAAGGATTTTGACAAAGTAAATTGAAAACTTTTCAACATTCCAGAAATCATTAAGAACATTTCTGCCGGGCGCAGTGGCTCACGCCTGTAATCCCAGCACTTTGGGAGGCCGAGGCGGGTGGATCACAAGGTCAAGAGATCGAGACATCCTGGTCAACATGGTGAAACCCCGTCTCTACTAAAAATACAAAAAAATCAGCTGGGCATGGTGGCACGTACCTGTAATCCCAGCTACTCAGGAGGCTGAGGCAGGAGAATTGCCTAAACCCAGGAGGCGGAGGCTGCGGTGAGCCGAGATCGCACCATTGCACTCCAGCCTGGGTAACGAGAGTGAAACTCCGTCTCAAAAAAAAAAAAAAAAAAAGAGAACATTTCTGATTCATGGGACAAGATCAAAAAAAATCAACATCAACAGGGCATCTGGAAGAAGCTGATACCAATCCTCATAGATGACAGAGGAGTTCAAGACTTCAGTGGAGGAAGTCACTGTTGATGTGGTGGAAAAAGTAAGAGACCTAGAAATAGAAGTGGACCCTAAAGATGTGACTGAATTGCTGCAATCTCATGATAACCCTTTAACAGATGAAGAGTTGCCTTCTTGTGGATGAGGGAAAAAAATGATCTTCTGAGATATATCCACTCCGAGCAAAATGCCCTGAATATTGTCTAAATGACAACAAGAGATTTAGAATATAACAGAAACTTAGTTAATAAAGCAGCAGCAGGGTTTGAGAAAACAGACTCCAATTTAAAGATGTCCTACAGTGGGATCAGGCATGGTGGCCACCTGTAATCCCAGCAGGTGATACAGGTGGAGGCCAAGGCAGGCACATCACCTGAGGACAGCCTGGCCAATATGGCAAAACCCTGTCTCTACTAAAAATACAGAAATTAGCTGGGTGTGGTCATGCATGCCTATAATCCCAGCTACTCTAAGGGTGAGGCAGGAGAATCACTTGAACCCAGGAGGCAGACGTTGCAGTGAGCCCTTGCACTGCAGCCTGGGTGACAGAGTGAGACTCCATCTCAAAAAAAAGAAGAAAATAAAAATAAATGAATAAAGAAGTTTTGGCCAGCCACAGTGACTCATGCCTATAAAACCAGTCCTCTGGGAGGTTGAGGTGGGTGGATCACTTGGGGTTGAGAGTTCTAGAGCAGCCTGGCCAAGCTGAGGAAACCTCATCTCTACAAAAATACAAAAATTAGGCCGGGTGTGGTGACTCACGCCTGTAATCCCAGCACTTTGGGAGGCCAAGTTGGGCAGATCACAAGGTCAAGAGTTCGAGACCAGCCTGGCCAACATGGCAAAACCCTGATTCTACTAAAAATATAAAAATTAGCCAGGCATGATGGTGGGTGTCTGTAATCCCAGCTACTTGGGAGGCTGAGGCAGCAGAATCACTTGAACCCAGAAGGCAGAGGTTGCAGTGAGCCGAGATCGCGCCACTGCACTCTAGCCTGGGTGAAATAACAAAACTGTTTCAAAAAAAAAAAAAAAAAAATTAGCCAGGCATGGTGGTGCATGCCTATAATCCCAGCTACCCGGGAGGCTGAGGCAGAAGAATCACTTGAACCCGGGAGGCAGAGATTGCAGTGAGCCAGGATCATGCCACTGCACTCCAGCTAGGGTGAGAGTGAAACTGTCTCAAAAAAACAAAAACAAACAAAAAAGATGTTTTACTACAGGTGAAAATGCTCTAAAACACCATCACATGCAACAGAGAAATACTATGTAAAAGGAAGAGTCCACTGGTACAGCAAACATTTGTGTCTTATTGTAAGAAACGGCCACAGCCACCTCAAACTTCAGCGACCACCACCCCCACCAGTCAGCAGCCATTAATGTCAAGGCAAGAGCCTCCAGCAGCAAAATGATTATGATTTGCTGAAGGGAGACTGTTAGCATTTCTTAATAATGTATTTTGAAATTAAGATGTATACTGTTTTCTCAGACACAAAGACACAACACTGCCATATACTTGATAAACTACAGTGTAGTGTAAACATAACATTTATATGCACTGTGAAACCAAAAGATTTGGTTTGCTGTAGTGGTCTGGATCCCAGCCTTCACTATCGTTGAGGTCCACCTGTATAAGCAAAACTGCTAATCCCTCAGCAGAGTAAATGACATCCCCTCTAACCCCAAATATCTTTATACTTAAAAAAAATTTTTGTTCTCAGATTAGATTAATGGTTGCCAAGGAAGCTGATGGGGAAAAAAAAAAGATTTGTCCGATAAATTATTTGAATTCCTATTGTGTGCACCAGATTGTTCTGACCTTAGTAACAATGAATAAATCAGGTAAACGGCTTTGCCCTCCTCACGGAGCCTGTATTCTCATTTGCATGTGTGCATTGGTGCCAAGGAGGATGGAGAAAAGGGGCTAGGGAGAAAAAACAAGTAAAATACAACATAGTATATGTGGTGAGTTAGACGATGATAAATGATATGGAGACAAGTCAGGAAATACACTGTGAATAGAGGTTGTTATTTGAAATTGGTTATTTAAGAAAGGCCTCACTGAGGTGACATTTCAATTGTTAACCAAAGTCTTTCTCTGAAGAATGCGAAACAGCAGATGGGAGAAATCTGTGAAAGGTCAGAGAGGGAAAGAGGGATGGAAGGTGGTGGAGTTGGAGGGATGCAGACTGGCTCCTATAGGCCCTCAGACTTTGGCTTTTCCTTTAGGTGACACAGAAAACCGTGGGAGAGTTTTAAGTAGCAACATGATCAGACGTAGGTCTTAAAAGCTCCATTCTGGCGGCTGCACTAGGAATAAACAGCCTGACGGTTAAGGGTGGAGGCAGTCACCAGGGGGCAGGCGACCTCAACAATCCACACCAAAGATGAGCTGGCTCAGTTGAGAGTGACAACAGTTAACTTGGTGAGTAGACTGAGTCAGAGTATATTTTTAAGATAGAACAAAAAAGCTTTTCTATCTGACGGGATTTGGGGTATGAGACAAAGAACAGAGTCATGGAAGACTATGAATTGGTTTGAATTCTCACTGATACTGAAATCAGGAAGCCTAGGAGGAACAGGTGTCAGCACTGGGAAATAAAAGTCTAGAGAGGTCTGGGGAATGGTCTTGAGTTGAAGGTACGTAAGTTTGGGAACATATAAAGTTATGAAAAGCCATAGAATTGGACAAGAGCACAGAAAAGTTGGTATAGACAGAAAAGAGGTCTAAGGGCTGGCAGTTACCCCTCACCCCCAGGATGATTTAGTATGTATGTATCTGAGTTAGGGCCCAGTCGGCTGAATCCTTAACAAGCTTCCCAAGTGATTCTGGTATCCTTCAAACTTTGAAAACACCCACAGGCAAATGGTCAAGATAATCTTAGGCTGAACTGCAGAATTTTAACTAAGTTTAATTTTATTTATAATTTTGTAAGATGGAATCTATACTTCTAAATTCCATTTAAATTCTTCATAAAAAACAAATACCTATCATAAATTAGACCATTAACTCCAAGTTCCTTCAATTTCCTTCTGTTTTCCGGATCATTGGTGTCATCACCCCAGCAGAATATTACTAGTCCCTTAGCTTTTGCCTCTTGAATATAGGATGGATTTCTGAGCAAGTCTTCAGTATGTGCATTTATCCCCTAGAAGAAGAAAAATGAGTTGTACATGAAAAAGAAGCATATGAACTGCAAAGCTAGATGCCCACACTCTAGATCAGTGCTCTCCAAAGTACAGTAGGTGGGAAAAGGTTAGATTTTTTTTCTTCCAATTACCTTTATTCTTTTTAATGGACATCTCATACATATATTCACAACATGTTAATAAAATATACATAATTTATAACATACATATTGACTGTGCCATCAAACAATTTTACTAATGGAATGCTCTATCAAAACAACTTTACATACATCTGTAAAATGGGAATAATATTTTTTAAGAGGCATACAGTCTAACCATTTTTAGATTATTCATAAAATCTATTCAGAAAGTTAAACTGAAAAGTTTAATGTGGGCCTACAACAAATTTTGTACTTAATTAACTATTTTTCATTCTGAGATCTAATATCCTCACTTTTAAGTAGGGCTACTTGTTTGCTACAGTTTATTCAAAACGTTAACCATTAGATGTGTAAAGTAAAATGAAATCTTTACTACTTCTCTAAAACAGAAAATTAAAAGATAAAAATTCAAACATAACTTACCAGTAGATTTTCAAACTGTGCAAAGCTCATTGCAATGGGGGTTGTCCGAGATCTGAGATCCATGAGTTCAGGATAAATCTCAGATTTTCCTTGAGTTAAAAATAATATGGGATATTTGTTCTGCTTTTGCCGAACCCTGAAAAGAAACAATTTAAAAAATACCTTTCGATGGGGGGTAACTAATACTTCTTTTTGAAATTTTAGAAAACACTAAAAGTATAAAGAAAACAAATGAGGCCAGGTATGGTGGCTCACACCTGTAATCCCAGCACTGTGGGAGGCCAAGGCGGGCGGAGAACTTGCAGTCAGGAGTTCAAGACCAGGTTGGCCAACATGGCGCGAACCCTGTGTCTACTAAAAATACAAAAATTAGCCAAGTGTCATGTGCACACCTGTAGTCCCAGCTACTCAGGAGGCTGAGGCACAAGATCGCTTGAACCCTGAAGGCAGAGGTTGCAGTGAGACGAAATCACACCACTGCACCCCAGCCTGGGCAACAGAACAAGACTCCGTTTCAAAAGAAAAAAAATTGATTTAAACAAAAGACAACAAAGGTGTATAGTCCCATTACTCAGATATAACCACCATCAACATGTGTTGCCTTTCAGTCCAAAAATAAAAATTTCTAAGATGACAGCAAGAATGGGGGTGGGGTCGGGCAGTAGCAGAATAAAAACTGAAAAACAAACAAACAAACAAAAAAACAAATTTAGGCAAGGTACAGTGCAGTGGCTCACGCCTGTAATCCAAACACTTTGGGAAGCCACGGCAAGCAGGTTGCTTAAGCCTAAGAGTTTGACACCAGCCTGGGTAACATGGTGAGATCTCGTTTCTACAAAAAAAATACAAAATTAGCCAGTCTTGATGGCATGCACATGTAGTCCCAGCTACTCAGGAGGCTAAGGCAGGAGGACTGCTTGTGCCCAGGAGGTCAGGGCTGCAGTGAGTCATAATTGCACCCCTGTAGCCTGGGTGACAGAGTGAAATCCTATCGCAAAAAAAATTTCTTTGATAAAAGATAAATTTAAAATCTTTCTATACAAGAGCTAAAATTTTCTCAGAAATCAGCAGTTATAAAGCCCTTGGGAGCTTACAACACGGTAAGAAGTGTATGACATGCCTGTAAAATAAAGGGTATAAGGCTCTAGGACCCAGTAGATGTGGACTTCACAGGAGTAGTAGGCATGCTAGCAAGCAGTCAAGAAAGGACATGAGAATACACACAACCTGACATGATTTGAGAGGACAGATCAAGGGGGAAAGCTGGACAACCACCCCGCCTCCAGACTGGTGACTTAAGTCCTAGACACACTCTAAGGGTATAGGAAAAAAAAAAAACTGAGTATTACTCACATTGTGCAAATATCTGCATCAAATGAAGAAAACACTATTCTCCTCTTCCCAGAATTTTCTAAAACAGTTTTTAAAATTATATCCAAAAACAGATTCATGTCAAAATATGTTGATAAGTTACCATCCCACATTCCATCCTATGTGAAAGAGAAAGCAAAATAAAGTCACTGCACACCGTAAAATCACAGTGCTAGAAACTGCTTTTATTCTAGCAAGCTGTGACAGAAAAGTCCTGACAGCATCCAGTCCAACTATTATTTTACAGATGATGAAACCTGAAAAGATTAAGTGATCTGCCCATGATCACACAGCTATTTAGTGATGACACAGATAATTCAGTTATAGAGACTCTCACACAAAAAGCAAGTTACTATTAACTGTAACATCAATAGACTTTTGCATTAAAGCTATAATAAAAGCTAAAACTCAGGCCGGGCGCGGTGGCTCAAGCCTGTAATCCCAGCACTTTGGGAGGCCGAGGCGGGTGGATCACGAGGTCAAGAGATCGAGACCATCCTGGTCAATATGGTGAAACCCCGTCTCTACTAAAAAATACAAAAAATTAGCTGGGCATGGTGGCGTGTGCCTGTAATCCCAGCTACTCAGGAGGCTGAGGCACGAGAATTGCCTGAACCCAGGAGGCAGAGGTTGCGGTGAGCAGAGATCGCGCCATTGCACTCCAGCCTGGGTAACAAGAGCGAAACTCCGTCTCAAAAAAAAAAAATAAAAATAAAAATAAATAAATAAATAAATAAAAGCTAAAACTCTATAATAAAGTTAAACGCTAAAACTCTAGAATTTTGCAATCCACTATGACTTTATTTCCATAATTGATAGGACATTTCATCTGTCAACACATTAACAAAATGCCCCTACTAATTGTTAATTACCAGTTTAAAAGTCTCATTCTTTGGGTCTTGGGCATATCAAGCAACCAAAAATTAATTAAAATAATTCAATAAATATATAGCCAAGACACCAAGCCAGCTCTATTGACATTCAAATATTAAATGGTTTTAGTACTAGTCACTGAAATAATTCTAGCTTAGAAAACTAAAAAGCACATATTAGGGAAATCTTGGTTGAGCATTCACTACAATAATGAGGACCAGCTTGTCACAAACAGCATGACTTGAGGGCAATTATAGATTATTCTGACCAAAACCAATTCAATGCCCAATCATGACATCTGAATTAACTACTTCCAACAACCCCTGCATCTCATCAATTTGCACATATTCTCTCTGATATATTCAATAGTTAGCTAATTGTTTTCCACAACTGAAATATAAGTCCCAGCAAGAAAAAGCTTTATTCTCTATTGTGTACTACTTGTCCCCAGCACTTGGAAAATGCCTGGCCCACTGCAGCTTTTCTAAAAACATTTGTTGAAAAAAGAAATGACTAAATTTGGAAATGATTTAAAACACAACTGCAGAAATTTTTTTTCCTGAGTAATTATTACTAGCTACTGTTACCAATAGAAAATTGCTTAGAAAATTATTTAAAACATATTAGATGGGAAATAACTAAAAATTAAATCCAAGAGATGTGACTGTCCACTTTATAAGTATCTCCCCAAAACCATCATACTGTGGAAATATTTCTACAATATTCATCATTAATTTGAAGTACTCACAAACCAGCATGAGTATAAGATAGGTTTTATTTAAAAGGTCCAATAAGCATTGTGCTTGATGGAAGAAGCCACAATGAGATTTCAGTTTAGCTTATTCCACTAAAATACAAAGATAGGAATGAAAGATTTTTTTAGAAAGGACAGAGAGAATACAAAATGTGCTGCATAGAGAATTACTTACCCTTTGTTGGCAGATCCATTTTATTTCAATGTTAAACCCTACATCTTCTGGCAAAGACTCTAAAACCTAGAGTTTGGTTTGTTGGTGGTGAATTTTGTTTTTGGAGAGATGGATAGCAGAATAAGAAAACAAGAAAAATAGAATTATTACTAAAAACATTAAGAACGTATCATTAGTAGCAATAAAATGTTTTGTGTATAATACACAAACATATTTTGTCATACTCAAAAGGACAACCTTGTAGATGATTACATTAAATAAGGTCAAAATAAATTTAGCAGCAAAAGCAGGAGTCTCAGGCACCAATCTGTGATAACTGACCAACATAAAGACGGTCCTTAACCTCAAATCCTTTTCACCATTACTAGCGAACAACCAAAGTGAACTCTTAACACGATAGGCAACATCATGAATTCAAGACATTTGTCATGTATTCTACATTGCATTTGGTGATGTCAGTCTATTTGCCTAAAATGTATGAAAAACCATGATTTTTAGATTGTTTTGAAGGTGACGATACTAAACAAATACCATAACACCCTGAAAAGACGTATCCCCAAATGAACAGATTATGCTGCAGCTTATAAATCAAAAAGGTTATAATTCATATAAATGACAAATGCTATCAATGTATCTGAACTAAATTATCCAGAGACTTTGCCATCAGGTTATTTTGGCAGTTGTAACTAGAAAATGACACTGAAAATATGAAACTCTGTTGGTAACCACCAAAGAATGGTCTTGTTCAGTCTTAAAACAAACATGAAAGCCAGGCATACACATAAATATGCTCAGGGCAAAATGAATTTGACAGAGATTATGTTTTATTATTATTTTTGAGGTGTAGTCTCAACTGTCACCCAGGCTGAAAGGCAGTGGTGCAATCTTGGTTCACTGCAACCTCCACCTCCAGGGTTCAAGCACTTCTCCTGCCTCAGCCTCCATAGTAGCTGGGATTATAGATGCCTGCCACTATGCCCGGCTAATTTTTTGTATTTTAGTAGAGATGGGGTTTTACCATGTTGGCCAGGCCAGTCTCAAACTCCTGACCTCAGTTGATCTGCCTGCCTTGGCCTCCTGAATTGCTGGGATTACAGGCGTGAGTCACCGTGCCCAGCAGATTATTTTAGAAACTTCGAAATTTTAGATCTCAAATAGCATGTATCATATATATGTTATTTAATTTTTTAACAGCAAATAAATGCATACAAACAGAATAATATAGTGGTAAGAACACAGCCTGGGAGTCTGGTGATCTGGCATCTAGCTCTGGGTCTGCTCTAAACAGCTGCATAGAAAGTACAGCACCTAAAATAGTTTGTATTCAATTTTGTATGGGACTTATTTTCTCCTGTATCTAAAGGCTTATTTAACACATCTGTCATGTTTTTGCTGGACTAATGCAAAATGAGAAAGATTAGGACAATATATTAGTGTCGAGACTGCTAAACAGCAAATTTGCTGGAAAAGTGTCTGTATAAGGAGATATTTGGTATTATTTTGGCATTAAAATTTGTGATTGAATGATGATGGCAAAGTGAGTAAATGAGTTTGTGAGTTTTAACTTATTTGACTAAAAAGTTGTCAAACCTGTATTACAATTTAACAATATTTTTCTGGGAATCATGTGATTTCTAAGAAACAAATGATTTTAGAAAATGGAATTAGAGGGCCGGGCACGGTGGCTCACACCTGTAATCCCAGCACTTTGGGAGGCCGAGGCGGGTGGATCACGAGGTCAAAAGATCAAGACCATCCTGGTCAACATGGTGAAACCCCGTCTCTACTAAAAATACAAAAAATCAGCTGGGCATGGTGGCGCGTGCCTGTAATCCCAGCGACTCAGGAGGCTGAGGCAGGAGAATTGCCTGAACCCAGGAGGCGGAGGTTGCGGTGAGCCGAGATCGTGCCATTGCACTCCAGCCTGGGTAACAAGAGCGAAACTCCGTCTCAAAAAAAAAAAAAAAAAAAAAAAAAAAAAAAAAAAAAAAAAAAAAAAAAAAAAGAAAGAAAATGGAATTAGAAGAAATGATCTTACTTAGATGGGCTTCATAAATATCTAAAAATTATACAAATTATATTTTGTTTATTTATTTTTGAAACAAGATCTCTCTTCATTGCCCAGGCTAGAGTGCAGTGGCACAATCACAGCTCACTGCAGCCTCAACCTCCTGGGCTTAAACCGTCTTCTTACCCTGGCCTCTCAGAGTGCTGGGATTACAGGCATGAGCCACCATGCCCGGCCAAAAATGATGTTTTAAATGCACCAGCATAATGACCATTGCAGGGGCTCTCTTTTTGCATCCTTTTTGCAGTGAATAATCACTACTTAATTTACCATTAATCACTGAGATTTTAATGATTTAGATTGTTTTATGAACCCCTCAAGAAATATATGCCTAAATATTTTAACAAAGTCTTTGTTATAGATTATTGTCACATCTTTCCTTTCTAAATCATATATATATATATTTATACACACACATTTTAGCAAGTAGCTAATATACTAGATAAAAGCCATCAAGTTAATAAGCTCCATTCCCCGAATAAGAATTTCCATATGATGGTAAACCAAAATTACCTATTTTTGCTTAAGAAATCTCTAGCCTGTTTCTACTAAAAATACAAAAATTAGCCAGGTGTGGTGGTGTGTGCCTGTAATTCCAGCCACTCAGGAAGCTGAGGTAGGAGAACTGCTTGAACCTGGGAGGCGGAGGTTTCAGTGAGCTGAGATCGCATCACCGCATTCCAGCCTGGGCAACAGACTCCATTTCAAAAAAAAGAAAGAAAGAAAAGAAAGAAAGAAAGAAATCTACTATACCTGACATGAACAGAAAAAGACAATGAGAAAGACCAGAATTTAGAAGCTGGAGTCAGCAGAACAAAAGCAGAACCAGCATCTTTTTGCATATGTGTGGGCTCTCCTGATGCTGTCAAGGGTATTCCTGTATTAAACTGTGTCTGGTTTTTAAATCTGCATGTTAGTTTCTGTGTGAAGATCTACTTTCTCAGAGTACATTTCTGAAATTTCAATCTCATTTTAAGTAAGAGGCTACTTATTTTCTTTGAAGAAACTCACCTCTCTCCCCAAAACTAAGAACAGTTTAAAATATTGTAAAACTGCCTCTCCCACCAACACCTTTCTCTCACCCCGACACCTGTGCCCTCCTCTCCTTTCCATTTATAAACAAATACATGTATTTGCTTGCTACTCTTACCAAATTAACATACTGACAGTAATTTTTATTCATTTGAGTAGAAGTTACTCTTGGGGAAAGAAAAATAAATAGCACAAGTATACCACACAAGAATGCATCTTGTTGGGTGCGTGTGTTGGCTCATGCCCGTATTTGCAACTCTTAGGGAGGCTGAGGCTGAGGGACAGCACAAATCCAGAGGTTCAAGACCAGCCTGAGCAACAAGGTGAGACCCATCTCTACAAAAAATTTAAAAATTAGCTAGGCATAATGGTGCACACCTGCAGTCCCAGTTACTTGAGAGACTGAGTGAGGTGGGAGGATCGCTTCAGCCAAGGAAGTTGAGGCTGCAGTGAGCCCTGATCATGCTACATACTTGGCCTGGGTGACAAAGTGAGACTGTCTCAAAGAAAAAAAAAGGCTCTTCTCTACAAGCACCAATGATGATAAATTTATATTAACGTTGTCTTTAACACAGCCTTTGTAGGATCCTTTTAAGAAACAAAAATAAATTATTGATACATAAGAAAATTAAGGAAAGCCTTGCCTTGGTTTTCCTCAATAGCTTACCATCTTAAGAGAAGGAAATGGCTGATTTTCTGAAAAGGAATTTTCCTCCTGGACCACAGATTCTGAAATTTTAAAATAGAAAATCTTAGTAAATAAAATACCACTATATCACTAAGAGCTCTCCTAAATCCTTAGCACCAAAAAGAGAGGGAAAGAAAGAGAGAGAGATCGTGTAAGTGCAAGAGCACTAAGGAACTCTGAGATCCTTTTACTTTTTTTTTTTTTTTTAAGAAATAGGGTCTCGGCCGGGCGCGGTGGCTCAAGCCTGTAATCCCAGCACTTTGGGAGGCCGAGGCGGGTGGATCGCGAGGTCAAGAGATCGAGACCATCCTGGTCAACATGGTGAAACCCCGTCTCTACTAAAAATACAAAAAAAAATTAGCTGGGCATGGTGGTGCGTGCCTGTAATCCCAGCTACTCAGGAGGCTGAGGCAGGAGAATTGCCTGAACCCAAGAGGCGGAGGTTGCGGTGAGCCGAGATCGCGCCATTGCACTCCAGCCTGGGTAACAAGAGCGAAACTCCGTCTCAAAAAAAAAAAAAAAAAAGAAAGAAAGAAAGAAAGAAAGAAATAGGGTCTCAGTCTGTCATCCAGGCTGGAACACAGTGGCATAATCCTGACTCAGTGCAGCCTCAAACTCAAGCGAGGTCAAGCAATCCTCCAGTCTCAGACTCCTGAGTAGCTGTGCCCACAGGCATGTACTACCAAATCCAGCTCATTTTTAAAAATCTTTTGTAGAAATGGGGTCTACATTGCTCAGGCTGATCTTGAACTCCCAGCCTCAAGCATTTCTCCCAACTCAGCCTCCAAAAGTGCTGGGATTACAGGAGTGAGCCACCATGCCCATCTCATATACACAGGATTTTTAAAGGCTCTTGTATTTATTAACCATTAAAAATCCATTTTCTAAATAAGCAACCTTCACGAAAACCAATTTGCAATGATTAACAGACACCGTCTGCAGACCCAAGAGTGATTTTTTTTTCTTATAAAATTTGTACTAAAGTATTACTCTTTAAAAAGTAGTCACAAGCAGTGATTTTGTTATTTCTTCACAGAATTAAGCTGTGTAATTTTGCTAAGGCTTCTATTTGAAATACTAAAACCAGCTCAGAAATTACAAATTCAGAGAATATATAGCTACTGTTGTGCTTCTGTGAACATTATCAATTAATCAATACAGACTAAAATTTACTTTCCAAAAGTGGAAAAAACTAAAATATCAAGTTTTTCTTAAAAACACACACAAAACCTGTATTACAAATTTAAAGATTAAATCATGTAAAAATTTTCTAGTGGAATAAACTAAAGGTAAAATTCATTTTATTACTAAGAGTCATGAAATACCTGTAAGTCTACACAGTTACATTTATGTTCTGGGTGGGGATAATCTTTGGTTTTAAGCACTTCACAATCTTTATAAAGATATTAAAACTGCATGGTTGCCAGGCGTGGTGGCTCACACCAGTAATCCCAGCAGTTTAGGAGGCTGAGGCAAGCAGATTGCCAGAGCTCAGGAGTTTGAGACCAGCCTGGGCAACACGATGACACCCCATTTCTACTAAAATACAAAAAATTAGCCAGGTGTGGCGATGTGCACCTGTAGTCCCAGCTATTTGAAAGGCTGAGGCAGGAGAATTGCTTGAACCTGGGAGGCAGGAGTTGCAGTGAGCTGAGATCGTACCACTGCACTCCAGCCTGGGTGTCAGACGCCATCTCAAACACAAACAAACAAAACCTGTATGGCTATCACAATTATTATAAACATCTATATCTATAATACACCTACTATATGTATAGCACCATCAGTCTCTGGGAATATAAAAACATTTTCCTGCCGGGCGCGGTGGCTCACGCCTGTAATCCCAGCACTTTGGGAGGCCGAGGCGGGTGGATCACGAGGTCAA